AGAAAAGTTTCGGATAAGAAACTCGTGAGAAAAATTATCACACCTTGGACAACTTCTCTTTGAACGTCTCAATGATTCCCTTCTCAAAAAGTTCCTCAAGCAGCCCTTTATATTTGTCCATGAATTCACTCTACAAATATATAATTGAAACAGAAATCTTTAATTACAAAGAAAAACAATCACTAAATTCAACTAAATTAACAATTAAAACAGAATAAATGAAGATTTTTTATACACACTACAAATATATAATTCAAGTACATATCAATCATATACAAAATCTTCAATTACAAAGAGAAACTATCACTAAATTCAACTAAAATAACTTGTACTTCGCAATTTATAAAATTAACCTTACAAAAAGTAATTAGAACACCAACAAGACCTTGGCCAAGTTGATAACTACTAACTTAAAAACCTTGATTTGAGGTTAAGCTCAAGGTTCAAACCTCTATCATGCCAAACAACTAACTCTCCAATGTACCAAAAGAGAAAAAGAAAAAAAAGAGAGAGAGTAAACAAAACTCCACAAACTACCCTGTAAAACTCCAGAGCTAGCTGCTTGGCCTCAAACACCCATCATCTGTTATTCTAATGACCTTTTTATCTCATCTACACACAAGGACAGAAACTGAACACAACCACTAATGGAAACACATATATATGCAACACTTTCCAGCTTCCTCTTTAACCACACAAACTGCTTGATGGCCTGAATTAATTCAAAAATTCTGTTTTTATACCATTGATCATTATGGAAGATCATCTCATTTATATCATTCCAATTAGACCACATAATAATTAAGCAAGAAAACCAATGCCCTAACCTTAACATTATATATACCTATCAAACATCCCGTAGACAAAATTTAGACAACAAGCATCAACAGTATTGAGTTTTGACAGTTTGAGTTCATAGGTAACTCTTTGTAGTAGCAGTGTTTACAATGCTACCATAGTTTCTATAGAATAAATAAAATTAACATTTTATCCAAAAAAAAAAGTATCAAGAAATTAAGTGAAGATCCATCGGAAACTTTGTCTAAAAATCTTAATGAAAAAGTAATGAAAGTGGAAGGACTTGACAAAGCAATATTGGTTTCAACATTTGTTCACTTCTGGTATGTTTGAGTTGAGGGGAGGGAAGGAGAAAAAAATTCTCTATTTGGTTATCAAAAAAGCTGGAAGGGAGGGGAGGGGAGGGGAGTGGAAAATTTTCCTTTATTTTTTCTTTTAATTTAGTTACTTACCCAAATGAGGTAAAGGGAGGGGAGGGGAATGAAGGAGAATAGAAGGATATGATTCCCTTCCTTTCCTTCCACTCCCCTCAACTCAAACATACCGGTGGAGTAAAAGTAATTGAAGCCATTATCCCAACCCCTCCAATGCAAAGTAGGAACTAATTTACTTAAAGTATTAACATGTTAGAATATTTGTGATGCTCTTTGGTTTTGAATCCTTCGCTTATGCATCTACAGCTGAATTTTGTAAGTACCTTTAATTTTTGTTTTTGAATTGTAAATGCTTGTAATGGTAAAACAAAAAGTTTTATATCACATGCGACCTTTTTTTTTCAACATTAGTTAGATTTCTTCAAATTTGTTTTATACTAGAAATATATACTAATTTATAAGTTTATTATTTCAACATCAACATCAAATGGCTCTTTAGAATGTAGATTAATCAAAATTTTCCAACTTATTGATACCATGTTCCTACTTTAATAATTTAAAATAGGTGATTTTGAAGTACACAAATCATTTCCTTTTTTAAATCTATTACTTAACTAAAGAATGCTCCAATTGTTCAAAACTCTAGATTAAAAAAAATAAAATAAAATTCTTGTTCAAAATTTAAGGCAAAATCCTTTGTGTAGCAGGGTAAGTATCATTAGTTATTTTTAAGTTATTTATTTATTTATTTAAAAATGAGCTGAACATATGTTACATTATGTTTGGATATTATGTTTGAATTTTAAAGCTACTTTATTTGGTATTTTTTAGGAATTTAGGTAAAACCCAAAAATAAAGAAAAGAAAGTAAGGCATAGATAATATCGTACCATCACATCTTCCTCACTCTTCCTTAAATTTTCCTTCAACTCTTGATCTTTCAGTACCTTCATTTGACAAACAAAAAACAAATTAAGATAAAAAAAAATTAAGGCAAATATATGAAATAAAATGTTTATCGCATTTATTTGTAATTGCTATTATTTCATGGATGATCCATCTCCTCTTAGGTTTAATAGAAATTGCATAAATTAAAGATCATCAATTATATATACCTCTAAATCAAAACGCTCTTCTTTTATTTTCTTGATGTAGTCTTCTCTAAAGGCTTTGTATATGTAACTGATTTCGGGCATCTGACAGAAGGCCTGGTAAATTTCGCATTCCAACTGAATTAACAATTAAAACAGAATAGATGAGGATTTTTTAGGAATATAATTCAAGTAAACATCAATCATTCGTAACCAAGGTTGTTAAAATCAAGAGTTTAGGTAAAATTGTTATAAATGGTAAACTCGAAATCATAAAATTAGATTAATAAAATTTAGAGTTTACTAAATTAATTTAAAATTTATATAATACTAAAATTTGCCATCAAATATTCAAATTTAAAATTTATCTAAGAAGTCTAATTACTAATTAATTATTTCAAGTCTTTGTAGAGCATTTTTCTATTTCATAGTTATTAAACTGTTTCAAATTTCAATGGTTTTTACCTCAAAATAAATTTCATAGTAAAATATTGTTAGTTTAATTTATAAAAAATTAATAAAACCTTAAAATTTTTGCATGAAAACCCAAAAAGGCCAGATTACATGACCCAAATTTGAATCCCTACAAAACAGCCCATAAATAGGCAACAAGTACAAGTATTGCTCCACCAATGCACTACTGGTAACTATTAGTTATATTATGACATAAAAATCCATAAAACCTTTTAAATTTGTAAAATTTTGATTTTATCCAATTTTACGAGTTTACTATGATTTTACGATTTTAAACCCTGTGTTTATGAGATTCTAATTTTAACTTAGATTTAACGCAATTTGGATACTTAAAATTGTAAAATGGTGATTTTGACAATCATGTTCATAACAATATAGATACCTTTTTGTTTCCCAAAAATAAACTATTATATTATAAAGAAATAAATTCATCCAACGGAAATCTATAAATATATAATTCAAACAGAAATCTTTAATTACAAAGAGAAACGTCACTAAATTCAACTAAATTAACTTGTACTTGACAATAGACAAAATTAACCTGACAAACAATAAACAGAACTCTAAAAACTACCCTGTAAAACTCAGAGCTAGCTACTTTGACTCAAACAAACATCATCTGTTATTCCAATAGCCTTTTTATCTCATCTACATACAAGGACAGAAACTGAACACAATCACTAATGGGAAAACATAAACATGCAACACTTTCCATATTCCTCTTTAACCACACAAACTAGTGGATGACCTGAACGAATTCAAAAATTCTGCTTTTCTCCCATTGATCATTTTTATCATTCCAAATCAACCACAAAATAATTAACCAAGAAAACTAATGTCCCAACCTTAACATTTATGTGTACCTATCAAACATCCCATAGACAAAATGTAGACAACAAGTATCAACAGAATCAGTGCAAAACAGAGCCAAATCCCCCCTGAGTACAGCGCCTCATCCAAAGATATAGGGACTGAGTGCATTTTCGAAACAAATGGTCCATATCCCCTCCATCAACACCAAAAAAAAAAAAACAGATAATATATCTAAGACCTCTTTTAATCAAACCATTAGGTCAGCGTTTAAATGCTGACATAATTAATGCATCCAAAAAGATAATAAAAAATAAAAAAAATAAAAAAATAAAAAACAAACTAAAAGAGGATAGACTCAAGATCAATGATTAATAAATTCTTCTCCACATCTTTAGGGTTGCTGGAAGGTTGTGGGATTAAAGAACAAAAATCTTTGATAAAAAGTTTGCTGCAGCCCTAGGACTGGAGAGTAAGAGGAAAGGTGAAAACTCAGCTGTAGGCTCAAGGGCTTATCATCTAGTCATGGGAGCTTCCTTTAAGCTTGTACATTACTACCTCATCCTTCTTGGCTTGCTTCAAAGCAGAGTGAACATATAGGAAATTAAACCGTAATGAAGGAATACCATATAACTAAAGGTGGGATATGACACCTTTTAGCCAAAGTAGTATCACAAAACATGCCTTTCTCCAACAGACCAATAATAATTCATCAAATAATAAAGTATTTATTTCCCTTATCAATTTCCACAATCTTCCCACAGTTAAAATGCATTCAAATTCC